ATATTGGTTTCCGGAAACGGGCCAGATTCCATTCAATTTGTAACTCACATAGCTAAGAGCACAAAGACTGTCGGTTAAGGGTTAAGTTAGTGAAATAATATAATTTATTGCCCACCCATATTATGTCATTACTATTTTTCGAATGTCTCTCGAAAACTTTTCGAACTCCCACTTGTCTTGTTTGTATTTATGTGTTTGTTGAAATTGTGTAAACTTTAAGAATAAATGGAAAAATGCAAAGTATTATTTAGTTTAATCACCACATTACCTTTTGTCCATTAATTCATCGTATTCAACGTCTATGGCAAGAATAACACGAAAAGTAAACGACAATATACATTATGGCATGGCATTCGGCTTTGGCTAAATGAACTTTTCCTTTTTATTGATCACTTTCGTTTGTGTGTCAAGTTAAAATCGTGTTCAAGAAGCAAAAATGCATGTTGATGTTGGTATTATGTAACTGACATTGTTGGAATTCCGGCAGCATGTTTAGTGAGAAGATTATCTTCGAGGTTATTAATTTAAAATTGTCAGATTTTTTTTAAATTAGTTCGTTTTTAAAAATAAACTATGTTTCAAAACTAGCAGCATAAAATTAATATTGATTTCTATTTACATAATATTTTGTTCGAAATATACGCATGGGCTAATTTATTAATGTAATAGTTTGAAACAGGTGTCTTCTTATGAGATCGACTTGTTTATAATACTGATGCAAATACTGGAAAATAAAAATATTGATACAAGGGACATGCGAGTCATAAGGAATCTATACTACAAACAAGAAGCTACAGTAGGAATTAACAGCTCGATATCAGATAGAATACAGATCAAAAGAGGTGTGTTGTCTCCAACCTTGTTCAATGTCTACGCGGAAGAAGTTATTAAAAAAGCTTTTATGAACGAAAAAGTCGGAGTAAAGATCAACGGTCACCCCATTTGCAATATCCGATATGCTGATGATACCGCGCTCATAGCAGAAAATATTGACGACCTACAGAGATTACTAAACAAAGTGGTAGAAGCAAGTGAAGAATTTGGTCTATCACTGAATACAAAGAAGACCAAATTCATGATAATTACAAAGAAACGTATCAATAATATCAACTTACATGTAGGACAGAATCTCATTGAACGTGTATAAAATTACAATTACCTCGGAACAAATATTAACGAGTCAAACGAATACGCCAGAGAAATAAGAATAAGAATAGAGAAATGCCTTTAACAATATGAAACAAATGTTGTGTAGCCGAAACCTAAGCCTAAAGCTGAAAATACGAATGCTTAAATGTTATGTTTTCTCGGTCCTGTTATATGGGGTGGAGGTGTGGACACCAAATAAGCAATGTATGGGTAAGCTGGAGGCATTTGAGATGTGGGCGTACCGAAGAATGTTAAAAATCTCCTGGAGGGATAAGATAACTAACCAAGTTGTATTAGACAGGATGAACAAACAAAAGGAGGTCGTATTGAGTGTTAAAATGAGGAAACTACAATACCTGGGACATATTACACGTGGGAATAAATATCAACTAATTATGCAAGGAAAGATTGAAGGTAGGCGCAGCATAGGTAGGAGAAGAATGTCAGGGTTGAGAAACCTCAGGCAGTGGTTTGCTTGCACTTCCATACAATTGTTCCGAGCAGCAGCCTCCAGGGTCAAAATTGCCGTGATGATAGCTAACCTTCGTAGAGGAGATGGCACGTGAAGAAGAAAGAAGAATCTAATATTTTAATTACTGTTTTATAACTAAGGTAGTACTTCTAGTTCGCATTATTTCACAAAACTTGGAACATCATATAGCTCTTCTTACTATGGTGTTTATCCCATAAGGATATTGGATACCCAATTTGGTCAATTGGGTATTCAAGATATTGGGGCAAATCGAGAGACAGCCACACTAAAACTGGCTCATTATACGGTGATAATTGGCATTCTCCAATTTTAAGGCTCCCACAATCGTGCCCACCTACTTACGTTTGCTTAATATTAAACCAATTTAATAGCAGAGGATAGAATAGTATGAATAGCACGAGATAAGTCACCAAATAGACGAAGAAGTATTGGCAGACCAAGAAAAAGATGGTGCGACAATTTAGAAGGCTAATATTGAAGAAGAAATAGGCTTTAAAACCTACATACTAGAAAGAAGAAGAAGAAGTTATAGAAATATGAGATTTTGCCGATATTGATGCCTAATTACAAGCCTAAAACGAAATATCTTTCGTGAGATATAATGCAAAACTAGAACATGAATATCAAAAACCAAAAGACTAATCTAAACATCAGAACTCAAGATATTCCGCGGAATACCTAGAAAGATACAGAGGAAAAACTTATTGCAGACACACACATTAAAAGTCGATTATATTAATAACTGAGTAATAAAAACAAAGAGAGTGAAATTAATAGATTAAATAATGAAGGCACAAGAGTGGCAAGAATCGGTTAGAAATATCTAAAAGAGATCGAGTATTATTTTTTTAGCGTATGGCTACATCACAGGTTCATATATATATATATATATATATATATATATATATATATATATATATATATATATATATACATACAATATAAATTATATAAATTACAAACAACAGTAAATACAAAAATATTATTCTACAAACAAACATCTAGATTATAAATATATTCGATTGACTCTTTTGTAGCAGCCAGGAAATCTGAAGGGTTGCCGTTATAGGATCTAATCGGGCATTCCTCTACCATGTGTTTTACTGTTTACCTTTCGGCGCCGCAGTCGAAATTTGGTGATTGTATTTTTCCCCATCTAAAAAGTGAGTCGGAACATCTGCCACAGTTCGTCCTTATTCTATTGAGTGTGGTCCAAATTCGTCTCAGTTGGTTGAAGCCCTCAGGTTTACTTGTAATACATGGTTTGTTCCAGTTAGCTGGTGCAGCGTTATTCTCCCATTGTTCTCTCCACCGTTCAGTTACATTAAAGTTTTGATTTACTAGCCTTTTTGCTGTTTTTAGAGGCGGGTGTCTTGAACGGAGCCTATTTATGTCTCTGGCGGAAGTTCCGACATGGGAGCGGAGCTCAGGATCAGTATTGATTTTTGTAAATTCTCTGACAAGAGCATGTTCCCGGCGGATGGGTGGTGGAGCTATATGACTCAAAGCTGGTAACCAGTAAGTGGGCGTGACCTTGATTGTGCCCGATATAGTTCGCATGGCTTGGTTGAGTTGGACATCAACACGGTGAGTATGTGGACTGTTTATCCATACTGGTGCACAGTATTCCGCTACGGGGTATACCAGTCCTAATGCTGTCGATCTAAGTGTGGGTGCTGAGGAGCCCCATGTAGTGCCGCAGAGCTTTTGCAGGATGTTGTTACGAGTTAGGAGTTTTGCAGCAGTCTTAGTAAGATGCTCTTTAAAGTTCAGCGTTCTGTCAAGTGTAACACCTAAGTATTTTGGGTGTTTATTATATTTAAGGAGTTTATCCCCAAAATTGATTTGAGGTTGATAGTTGGCCATCTTGTTGTACAAATGGAAGCAGGACACTTCTGTCTTAGTTGGATTGGGTTGCAATCTCCATTTGCGGAAATAATCCCCTAGGGCATTTAAATCATTTGTTAGAATGCGTTCAGTGACCTCGAATTCTTTATGACTTGCGGCAAGCGTCCAGTCGTCTGCGTATCCAAACTTTTTTGATGTGGTTTCTGGCATGTCTGCTATGTAGAGGCTGAAAAACATGGGAGCCAGCACGGATCCTTGTGGAAGTCCATTATTCAGTTTCTTTGGGTACTAGTCTTATCTCCCACTATAACATAGCATGGCGTTAATAACCTCAGTGGTCTTTCTGCATGGGATTATTCGCATTAATTTATATATTGCCCCTTGTCGCCACACAGTGTCATAAGCAGCAGATAGATCGATGAAGACAGCGGTTGTTTTTGATTGCTTTTGAAAGTTTGATTCCACATAATTGGTCAAGGCGAGTACCTGGTCTGTGCAGCTGCGGTTTGGCTGAAATCCTGCCTGTTCCACTGGTAAGTGTTGGAATATGGTTTTGCTGATTCTATTATACAGCAGTCTTTCGAACAATTTGTACACCATACTTAAGAGTGCGATGGGACGGTAGTTTTTCGGTGAATTATTACTTTTCCCTGGTTTTAAAATGGCGACGATTTTTGCATTTTTGAGTTGGTGGGGGACGTTTCCCGTTTGAAGGATGTCAGAAAAGAATTCTGCGAGCCATTGCCTAGTGAATCTGCCGCTATGTTTGAGGAACTCAGCGTGAATGGCGTCGAAACTCGGCGCTTTTCCGGTTTTCATTTCATTTAGGGCTTGCGATATTTCTTCATGCGTAAATGGGTTGGAATATTCTGTTGACTGTGCAAGACTAGATTTTATGGTTTTGAGGTCTTTTTTAACTTTAATTGTATGTAAACGATTTTGAGGTGCCCTAGAGGTTGACACTATGTGCGTAGCTATTTGGGCTGGAGTTACTAGGTTGGTTTGGCGAACGGGTGGGTTGCTACTTCCGAGTTTCCGCAGTAGGGACCAAGCTTGTCGACTTGACTTCTGGAAGTCTAGGTTTTCTACTGTTTGTGTCCAGTTTTCACGCCTGGCAGCATCAATGCTGTGGAGTAGTTCGTCTGCAATCTCCTGCTTTCCATCTTCGCAATATTCTTCATACCGTTTTTCGCTCTTTTTCGCTCTGTTCTGTCCAATCAGGGATATAGAGATCGAGTAAATAATTAAATATGGAGCAATCAAAACAGACAATTTGCCAAAAATTACCAAGAAAAAGAATAAACATTGTCAAATTGTTCTCTTTTTTTAATAGTATTTAAATGTTGTTTTCAGGCTATTTTCTTATGACTTTTTAGAAATATTTACTATTTTTATTAGGAATTCCACCTTAGGATTACAACTCTGAACACCATATTAGCGTCAACACCCATATTATTTTAGAGTTAATACAATTTGACTGTATAAGAAAAATTTGGACATTTTAACTCACCTATAAATTCGTTTCGTAGCCTCGTTCTGTCGTTGAGCCGGGGTGTTGAAATGATCAGACAGTTGATAAAGGCCACCAAGGCAGTTTGATAGTCCACAGCGGTGGCTCGGTCAAGTTCGTGAACTATCACGCTCAGTCTATATCTCTCATTTTTTAATTTCTGAAACAAAAATGCCTAATTGAAAAATACATCTAATCTAAATATTAGGTGGTCGTCGTATATTATTGAGTATAATTAAATTGTATTTACGCAGAAAGTGCCGTTACATCACAACTGACAAAAAGGAAATGTTACCCGATTGATTGCACGGTTTTTGTAAGCAAATACTTAATTCACGCTTCACGCTATTAAAAAACAAGAATCTGACACAAGTTACATATAAAATATAATAATTGTTTAAAATTCTCTGCATTGTTTACTACAATAAACAAATTTGACAAAAAAAATATTGCTTATATCTATTTTTCACGCCAGTAACTTACCCGCGACTACGTAAAAACAGCTTTTTTACAGTCAGATAAGTATCAGCCACTGATCAATCTGCCAGAAGCAAGACCGCAACAATCTAGTCATCTACCAGAAGTCAACGGACACTTGCACTTACTACTCAACGACAACGGCAGTCACTTGTGAAACTTTAATTATTATTGTTTCTGTCCATATCTCATTGTTCTTACAACTCCTTGACAATAATAATGAGTTTTACAGTTAATGTAACATCCTTTTTATCATAGACACTTCTATCGTCTATCACGCCTATCGGAGCAGTAGATACTCCCAGTCTGCTTTGCTATTATTTCTATGCTTTTCATTTTCGAATTCATTTGTGGTATTATGTTTGAACCAATATGTTGCAAGTATTGTACGTGTTTAATTCTTTTTTTCTCTTTTAGAAATAACGCAGTTATGTAATGTATTTTATGGTTTTTACCTGCTATAGTCCATTTCCATCATATTGATAGCACATTATGTATGCAAATCCCTAAACTGTTGATACGGATGACTCAATGAAAAATAGATATTTGTCAACAAGTTTACAGAAGTATATAGGAAAACAATTTTAAATTGAGTATGACCACCAGGTATAAACGTTGAAGCAGAATAGAATACAATAGTTTTGAGGGTTACTAATCCCTAAATAAAATTACCAGTGTCGGAGTGATGGAGATTAACAGGTACTAATGAATTTGCAAGAAATGAAGATGTTTATTTTATTGGTTATATATAAAATATTTTGTGGTCGTAACAGGGGCCGATTTGTAAAAAAATAAATATTATTTTAATCAAATTCCATTTCAGATTCACTGCTTTCTTCAGAATCTAAGGAATCTTCAACTCCAATGTTAATTATTACCGGTTCCAGCATTGCATCAGTCATATTATCCAAATTCCACATTTTATTTTCTTCCTTGTGAGCATGACTAACAGCTTTTTTCCAATTTTCTGGAGTTACTTTTGATAAGGAATGTTTTAATAATTGTTGTAAGTCTTCTAATTTAAAAGTTTTGTTGTTGCGTCCGACTTCACCCTTTACTTGAGAACATATATTTTCTATCGGATTCAGATCACAGTGGTATGAGGGTAAACGTAAAATAATTACATCACGGTTTAATGCCATTTCATCAATTATATATTTTTTATAAGCTGCTTTATGTTGCCTTACAATAGATAATAATTCCTTTTTTGTCGAATTCTCCTTGTACTCAATTGCGTGTTTATCCAACCATTGGATTATCTCTCCTTTTTTCCATGCCGTTGTTGGCAATTTTTCTGCTAGTCTTGAATGGTAACTAGCATTATCCATGACTATGAAAGAATTTTTTGGAATTAAATCCAACATTTGCTCAAAATATTCTTCAAAAACGTCAGCAGTCATTTCCTCGTGGTAATCTTTGGTTGATTTTGAGGAAAAACTTAATAATCCAGCATTGACAAAACCGTATTCGTTTCCAATATGAGTTATTATGAGTTAGCGTCCTTTTTCAACGGGAATATTGTTTATTCCAGTAGATACACCTTCGATGAATGCCTGACGGGAACTTTTCACATTTGTATCAACCCATAGATATGGTACAGTATGACCTTCATTTAGCCAAGTATCGTCCAAATAAAAAATTGTTTTCCCTTCTTCTCGGTACTTTGAATAGTTCTTAGATAATCTCGTCTCCAACATACAATGTAATCTTTTTCAATTAAAACGGATTTTCTTCTATTCTTTTGCCAACGTAATCCCATCTCTCTCAATAGTCCCCATAATTGCTTGTTGCTTATGATTGGTAACTCTTCTTTTTATCTAATTAATGTTTGGATTTTGTCCAATGTTGGAAATTCTTTGTTAAAAAAAAAAAAAAAATGAGGGGACGCTGCGTCTTATAATGTTTTTATGTATTTCTTCAATTTCCAAGGGTTTACTCCCTCCACTCTTCTTGGGAGATGAAACAGTTCTTCCTTTTCTTTCTTTTAGGAATCTATAAATTGTTGCTTCTCCAACCCCTATCATATTTGAACACATCTTAACGATTTCACGAACATTATTTAAAGGGCGTTGATGTACAAGTGCATCGTGTACATTTAATATTAGACTGAAGGCACCATTAAAACTACACTTAATCGGGATAAAACCTGTTGTCGACGTCATTTTTAAATGCAAATAACAAAATATCGACACCAAAAACGTAGGTAGGTAAGACATGAACAACGTACATCTACAAACTAAATGGAAGATGCAAACAATTTCTAATTTATATTATTGGCATAAGCTGTAATGTGCATAAAAACTACTTAAACTATCATTAGTGAAGCCTTATTAGTAATTCCAGGTAATCGTTCAAAGAAGGTATTATTTTTGTGTCAGGCGATAACTTGTATAGAAATCAATAATCACCTTTAAATTACTGTTTACATTAATTTATTTCGTGAAACATTGAATTCTCTCGTTAATCACCCGTGTATAATTAACAATAATCGTGTGGCATATATACCGACGTTTTTTACGCACAAAAAAGGTATATTGAGATTAGTGGACACCTATTTTACAGAAGATTTTTTAAAAGATAATGAATTGTTGACGGCATCTTAAAATATTAATTTTTTTTATTTATTTCAAAACAAGTATAGGGTGACACCTATAGTCTTTTGATCTGATTTGCATACATAATGTGCTATCAATATGATGAAAAAGGACTATATCAGTAAATCATGGATTTTGGATAATGGAAAATGAGATATTTTTAGCATATTTTATCCTCTGAGGATATTTTTATGGTTTATTCCCGGTATTCCTGTATCGAAAATATTCCATACATTTTCAATAGGACAATCTAGAGAACTGGATTACGGATTACGGATGTACGGTTTGAACCAATTGTTTCATGGTTTTGAGCAAATTATTTGGGTATTAAAGACCATTCATATGGTTCGCTGCGACCAATCCACTTATCATTGGCTGAGAACAGGACAGGGTTTAATTAAGTTGAATACACCATCAATGTATTAATTCTAGAGTCAGTTTGGTTAATTAAATTAAAAATTTCGATATTTTAATAATACAATTGGAGATCGGTACCAAACACATGGTAATTGATTTATCGAGTGATCAGTTTCCTTTCATTGTTCAAGAGTTCAATACGATCAACCTTATAATTATTTTATTAAAAGGTTTTAAAAGATTTTGTGTTTTTGGTCAAATTGTTTTGATGTAATTTATGTTAATTTGATTTTCCTTTAGGGATACCTACAGTGGGTTCCAAAAAATCTGATACGACTCTTAGTAAGATTTGATCATTTTGAGCGGCGTGTTTGATTGGTATGGCATTATATTATATTGTAATATTGTATTATTAGGTTCTAAATTTTGATATTATAAAGAGTATATAAATGATAGTTTTTACATAAAATAGGGTTGTTGATATTATTTTTAAGAAAGCTAAGCAATAACTAAATTAAAAGATAACTGGGCGCTATTAGAGGCAGAAAAACATTTTAATATACAGTTGTTCTGTATACTAAAGTTGGGTATGTAAAAACAAAATTATTATTTTGTAATATTTCCACCAGCGTTCATAACAGCTTGTAGTCTTCGATCCATCTGCGTGAAAGGAACTATGAAATTGTCTTCTTCAGAGAGCTCTTCCCAAACCTGTTGTATACTGTGCCCATCGAGCAAAAAGATAAAAGAGGGAATGTAAAGGTAGTGGGAACAAAAATATTGTTAGACAGGAAGTGCTATCTTGAGAGGCCACTTTAAACAAGGAAAGACAGTCTCTTTCCTTGTTTGAGAAGTCAAATTTAGTTTGGTTATGTTATTGTTTGTCCCAACTGTCACATGAAATTTTATTTATATTGAAGTTTTTTACCAATTGTGTCACTTTTTAGAGTATTATAGTTAATATTTAATTAAAACTTTCTCGTCTGAAAAATATTTTATAGCTATTGTTAATAAGTGTTGGAAAATTTAAATTTAGCGCCTTTGCATTTCCGGATATGTCCGCCATCAGAGGCCACTTTTTTGGTCTCCTTTTCATAACGATTAGATTCCCTCTTTTATCTTTTTGCTCGATGACTGTGCCACAGCTCTTCAGAATTTTGAAATATAGAATTACGCCGATACAACTGTTTTATAATAACCCCCCACATATTCCCGATTGGGTTTTAATCTGGACTATAGCTGGGCCGTGGTAGGGTTTTGATGTTGTTATTTTGGAGTCACTGATTTATTATATTTGCAGTGTAAACAGGACAATTATCTTGTTGAAGGATAAAATTATTTTCTGGATACAACTATTCTACACTGGGAAACATGATGTTTTCTAGAATATTCAGATAAGTCTGCCCAATAAACCTGCCACCAATACGCCACACCATTCCTCTAGATGAAATACACCCCCATACATTGGCGCTAAAATGACCATCTGCTGGGTATCTATCAACATATAAAGGATTAAATCTATAATTATCTGGTTTATAAACCCCAATTTGGCCCTTTTTAGATTAAAAAATTTTCTAATCTTTAAATATTACTCTGCTCCAAAAATCTTGATTTTGTAGCTGATGGTTCAAAGCAAAAATAAGTCTTGATTACTTCTGTTGTGGTGTAAGAGCTTGTTTTTTTGCAGCAGTTCGGTACCTAAGACGCAATGCTTTAATTCTGTGTCAAGTTT